TTTTTTTTTCTTTACCGCAGAAAATGTGCTGATCGTTAAATTCAACAGAGATTTTTCAAAGTAAATTGGATCTATAATACTTTTAAAAATATTTGGGAAATGTAAAAAAAAATATTACAATTTTAAAATTATAATTAAAATAATTATTGGTATATAATATTAAAAATTAACTGAGTTAWTTAATTTAATAAATTAACTTTTCATAATATGAAATGTAGAAATATACCTATATTATATTTGTATATACCTGCTATTTTCAGCATTGATTTTTCAACAAAAGTTACATTTTTTTACATAAATATATTAAACTTCTATATTAAAACCTACTACCATAAGTATAATATTACCACCAAAAACTTTTGTCTWATATAATAACTAATATTATTATTTGACATTAGTATTCTTATGTCGGGACTKTCGGGTTGCATGAAAAATTAATGAATTTAATGTTTCAATAAAATGAAATTAATCAATCGTGGGCCATTAAATCATGTTTAACGTTAGGTAGCTTACTATATAGTCGCAAACAAGTTTAAACGAACCAACTAAAAAATAAATGCATTAATTTATTAAAAGAACGTAAACGGGTTTCTGTTTTGATCACTGGACGTGAACGAATTTATTTTTTTTGTCATCTCTTACTACAGACAACGCAATACACGTTATCAGGTATTTTAAAATTATTATACGTCTCGATACGAGATACTCTAATTTTATCTCAGATAGGGTTTTTTAAGTATCCATCTTAAATATTACTAGGTTAGATATTGACCAGCCTTGTCTACAGAGCCGTGTGTTATAACTAGGGGCCGGAATTATATTCTTTTGCATATTTTTTTTTTAAGGCTATACAGTCAGACRRRGATTCAAAATCTTTACAAATCATGATGAAACCGATTAATCAATGGCAAAAGTTTTTTTTAGCATATTTGAGAATATTTCGTACAATAAAGAATATTTGAGAATATATCGATTCATTTTCCCGTGACTTCAGTTGACGTGGAACATTCATTTAGCACGTATAAAAACATACCTACAGACCGTCGTACAAATATGACACTAGAATACATCGAAAAAAATAAAGTTATTGTTAACTGGTTTCAAAAATGTCCATAATTAAAAATACTTTACTGTCATTAATATAATTTAATCAATTTTTTTTAACATTTATTATTTTGCATATAAATGAATATTTTTATTTCAAGAGAATATAGATTAATAAAAAACTTATTTTTTGCATATTTTATTATGATTTCTAAAGAATATTACAAGAATATTTTCAACTTTTTT